AAACTGGTCCTTTGCTGGTTTAAACTGGTCCTGTACTGGTTTAAGATGGTCCTGTACTGGTTTGTGCTGGTCCTTTGCTGGTTTAAGCTGGTCATTTTGCTGGTTTGTGCTGGTCCTTTGCTGGTTTAAGCTGGTCCTTTGCCAGCACATGACCAGCATAAACCAGCAAAGGACCAGTTTGAACCAGCAAAAGGACCAGCTTAATCCAGCAAAGGACCAGCATAAACCAGCAAAGGGCCAGCTTAAACCAGCATCCCAGCGTCAAAACATACCTAACCAGCATATGCTGTTTTTTTTCAACAGGGCTGTCCCAGTAATTAGTAAAAGTTCAAATAAGTCTTTTCACTTAATTTTCCAAAATCTTAAAGAGTTACACATACTTAAACAGTTAATAAAAACAGAGTCATCACTTATTTTATGTTATAAATCTGAGTAAATACAAAGATTTTTTAACAAGTATTGCGGTGGTACCAGTGCATGGTATCAGGTGATAATATCATGTATGATACTGTACTGAATGAATACCGTTTAGCCTACTATGAATATTGTATATTTTAAGTATTTACTTGGTACTGAAAGATACTTGCAAAATACTTTGGTCCAAAAAAAAAAAAGATGTGTGTGTATAGTATATATATATATATATATATATATAGTATTTATTTATTTACTATATATATTTGCATTTATTAACTAGGCGTGTGAACACTAGAGGTCAGCAGTGAGTCGTATGTGGTATGGATTCACAAAGCAAGATTTTAGCTCATTAGCAGTACCTTTTTTCCCCCAGAGTTATATAGTTTTTAGTTCTACATAAGACCGTCTTACATCGAATTACAATTTGAGTAAATAAAATTACAAACACCTTAAAATTTAAAACTTGATCATAGCATGAGCTAAATTTCAGTCGTTTATAACTGAGCTAAAAGCGGCCTGTAACTCTTTATTAAACACTTTGCATCTTAAAGCAAAGCAGTGGCACTTATTTTAAGTGAACATTTTGGTATGTTTTTGCATCATGACCCTGTCAGTCTGCTCTTTGAACCGTTCAAGCAGGCCATTGAAAAGACACATTGTTTCTTAAGGTTGGACATTGAGTGTGTCTTCAGCTGTGCTCACTGAGAGAGCAGTCTGTGACATTACACACAAGCACAGCACATCACTGCTGCCTGCAGACATGGGTAAGTACAGCATTTTTACTGATCACAGGGGAAGTTTAAGCCATTTTGTATATCATTTGAAAAATGTTTTAAATTTTACCTGTAGCTTGATAAACTAGTGCAAAGAAAGCTGAGCATTGCATTTGAAGAGACTTGCATATCCAGTGGCTTCAGAGAAGTACTACTACTTATTTGTCTGAATGTCACTGCAATAGAAACTACATTTCCCACCAAGTATCGTCTGGACTGAATTGCTGCAGGAGCTTTTCTCAGAACTAACTTGACTTGTAGCATTATTTTAGGTCAGTGTCTTTTAATCATCTGGTGTTTTTGTGATTTTTAGAAAAACATTATTTGTCCTAGCAGAGAAACCACAGGTGTAGATCATCATGATTGACTAATGTTTCACCGTTATTTTTTGTATATAATAACGTTTTTAAGACTTTTTTTTCATTATTATTGTGTGTGTGTGTGTGTGTGTGTGTGTGTGTGTGTGTGTGTGTGTGTGTGTGTGTGTGTGTGTG